CATAGAATGTCTAACATTGTTTCTGATCAAATGACTTTCTGATCAGTGTACTTCCTAAAAATCAGGCTCCATTGAAGTACCTGAAAATTGAGGCCCCCAAACTCTCATAGTTGTGTTAGAAAAGTTTGACCAAAGTGCTTTGTATTATTATGTATGTATGTATTTGGTATTATTTCATTCTGATATTTTTTGTCCACCTATTTGGGCAAAAGACTTAAGCTATCGTTAGCTATTGTTAGAACAGTATTCTCCCAAATTCAGGATAGGTGGTTTGAATTCCTAGTTATGAAATAACTTCTCAGTTTCCTTAACTGACGAGAAGCATATTTTCAGAGCAGTAAGCAGGTATGCCATACACACCTTGAATTGCTGATAATACTTTCTTCTAAAACAAGATACATTCTCTGTCCAGTTACTATATTCAGTCTAATATCTTTGCTCCTGTGCAGCTTTGGCCAGAGTCTGAGACAAGGTTGCTAAAGTAGCTGGCCTTTCTGCTTTTGTTCCTAGTATTGCAGGTCCTATCAAAATGTGTACTTCTTCCCAGGCTTTGAATGGAAAATGGCAAAAGTCCAAACTTCATAATCTAGCTTCATCCTTCATAGAAATCCATTTGTTTGTTGAGTTTTCACCTGGAATGAATATGGCCTCATGAATTAGTGCGTTATAATGAGGTCCTCTCTTAAATCGCCACAATTTAATGGCAGATATACGATGAGATATTTGGTGCATGTTTTGCTGTTCCTGCCCAGTGTCCATGTATGAGGAGGGGCCTGTATTACTTTTACATTACTGAATTCTTAAACAACGTTCCTTACCCAGTGTAGGATTTTCTTCACTACAGATTTCACTTCAGGTTAATTAGCTTTTACCTCTAAAACTACAATCAAATTAAGTGCCATGTGGTTTAGTAGTTAAAATGACTTGTAGTTAAGATACCCTGGGTTCTGTTTTGGCTCTTGACGAATCGCGTAGTCAACCTCTGGAACTCCTTGCCAGAGGAGGCTGTGAAGGCTAGGACTATAACAGCGTTTAAAAAGAAGCTAGATAATTTCATGGAGGTTAGGTCCATAAAAGGCTATTAGCCAGGGGATAGAAATGGTGTCCCTGGCCTCTGTTTGTCAGAGGCTGGAGAAGGATGGCAGGAGACAAATCGCTTGATCATTGTCTTTGGTCCACCCTTTCTGGGGCACCTGGTGCTGGCGACTGTCAGAAGACCGGCTACTGGGCTAGATGGACCTTTGGTCTGACCCAGTATGGCCATTTTTATGTTCTTATGTTCACTGTGTGTCTTGGCCAAACTCCTTAAATCCCGTCAGTTTACCAGTCACAAAATTGGTGACTATACTTGTCTCACAGGTATTAAGCTTTGCAGCTTATTTGCAAATCTTTGGAAATCTGTAGGTGGCTGGTGTCCATATTATAGTTACAGAGTACAAGTAATTTGTGAGTAGTATAGAATTGTATGCGCAATTGTGATATAATTTGTTCTTTTTTTATTTCGTAGGTATCATGAGCTCGTAACAAAATATGGGAAGCTGGAACCCTTAGCAGTAGTGGATCTTCGGCCCAGGAGCAGTGCGAAGGTTGAAGTTCACTTTAAAGATAAGGTGGAAGAGATATCCATCCGTCTAGATCAGACGGTGGCAGAATTAAAGAAACAGTTAAAAACTGTAGTGCATTTGTCAACAAGCAACATGTTGCTCTACTACTTTGACCATGAAGCTCCATTTGGTCCTGAGGAGATGAAATACAACTCACGGGCATTACATTCGTATGGCATTCAGGATGGAGACAAATTTTTTGTGGAGCCCAAATCTAAATAGTCTCTTCTGGCTTTGTGCACTCACATAAACACACACACACACAAGTTAAAGATTTTTTGCAGGGTTTTTAGGTTGGTTGATTGGTTGAGGTTTTGTTTGTTTTTTATACCAGTTGACTTCTTGGCCCAGGTAGCGTGTGCAAATCTGAGAGACGCATGCCACCATTCAATGCAAATGAACTTAAGAGGAGATAACTGACTTCAGTGTGTGTGTGTGTGTGTGTGTGTGTGTGTGTGTATGTATGTTTCAGTATGTCTGATAGCTTGATGTTCTCATTACTGCTCCGGTATACTCGTGAATTTAGCATGAATGGTCAGCTCTTCAAGCTAAGAGTGGTATTATGGTCTATCAACAAGGGAGTCAGAGAGCAATATAGAATTTGGTCAGTACTTCTGTTAGTTTAAAGACTTGACTTAGCACTTGACTCTGGCTATACAAATAGCTGAATTGGTCTTTATCCAGCCAAGCGACGTCTCTAAATTTTTATTGTTGAAGTTAGCGAAAGGATTTTAAGCAGTATTCAGCCTGATTTAGATCTCAGGAATTGAGAGCATCTTAAACTTCCACTGGGTTTGCAAGAGTAAATACAATGGGAGACGAAAATATCCAAATTGGGGTGGGAGACACCTTTTACTCCCAAAACTCACTATCTAGAGTAGTCAGTTCTACTCTGATCTTGCACAAACCGTTCAACTTCACTAGACCTCTAGCATTGTGTGTACTTGAGTGACACGTCTGAAGTTACTGAAGATTGGAATTAACAGTATTTTGGCCAGATAGGATTATATGCTAATTTGCAGAAAACACTGGCTGTTCTTGGATGGATGTTGTGTCAATTGGGAATCCAAATTAACAGCACATCAATATGCTGAATGGCATACTGGAGTTGCTTTGAATGTCCTTTCCCTATTGTTTGCAAGATCCACTAATAAGCACTTACCCTTTGGACAATTTGTATTGAGAGTAGAAAGACTAAAATCGTTCTCCTTACAAAGTCCTATTCCTTAATATAAAGCTCTATCCTTACTCATGCTCCAGGAACCTACCTTAATCTACCACTTACCCCCACTATATTAATGTGCACCCTCTGTTTAAAATAGGTATCTGCTTTACTTAAATGAGTTGTCAAAGGTGAGTAGATGAAAAACTACTCACAGGTATAAAAACAGATGTTGTTATCCAGAGTAACTCCCTCTTGGCCCCCGCCAAACTCTCTTTGGGCATAGTGTGCTGGTTTTAAATAGGCCCCTTTTTTCCCTCTTGCTTATGATCCTGTTGTGACATCCTCTGCCCTTTTATGTATCTCTCTTGTAAATCACACAGCTATTTCCCTTTACATTGTCCTCCCTCCTTCCTCTGTCGCCTTGACAAGTTGAAGATTTTACGGTGATTTTAACTACACTGCTTGAAACATTTTTTTTAAAAATGTAGTCTGGGCTCTAGTTACATATGAACTTCTGACCTTAGTTCTTTAACATCTCTCTCCCCCACCCCTAGGTACTTTCTTTCTCGTGACGCTTTTGTCTGAGTTCCTGAACTCCTTTATATTCTTGGAGTTGTGTATTCTCTTCATATTTTACCTGGATTGTCCAGGGAGGGATATAATCTCATACTTTGCAGATTCAGTATCTCAGAACTATTCATCTGAGAGTGGTTCCGCATCTAGTGTAAACATAGAAATAAGAGGATTTGAGATGGGTTAATTATTTGTGCCTGGTCTTCTGCGGCAGGAGTTGGTCTCCTGGGAACCTCAAGCTAAGCAATAGAAGACAGACCAAGGCTTGCATGTATAACATGGAAACCACAGTACCTGGCTTGATCCAGTAGGAATAAAGAACCATGAAATGGTGACAGTGTAATATAAAGTTTTAAGGACTCTTGCTGCAGAATTTGCTGTATAAGCTGGAGCATGACTGGGGATGCGTTTTCTGCCCATTTGGGAAGTAAATGCATTTGCTGCCCTGCAGTGGAAGGCCAAGCAAACGCATGTATGATATATACATACATACACATAGAGGAAGTTGTGTTTAATAAGATATTTTATTATAAAACAAAGTTTTATGAAGATATGGTTGTTTAATATTAGAAGCCTATTTCTCCTGTTGACCTATTGTACGAGTGTGTTGCCCATCAGTTAGAAGCTTATGCAGGTTCTGTGACTGATGCAGATATAAAGGAATATCTATAGAACAGTAACCACCTATCTTGGGTATATTTAATGGCATTGTTACTGGTATTAACAAGACACTGTAATTATTGACCAACTGTTTTAGCACAACTTAATATGTTGGTTTTAGAAGAGGAAATAAAGTAAATTAAAGCATTTGATGGGACCCTACAAAAGGCCAAATATGTGCTTGTAAATTTGTTTGCCTGTGGAAAGTTTTAATTCTACCCAGAAACAAAATTGGTGCTGTCACCATGTTGGCTCTGAACTACAGTTAAATGTTGTTTTTATGGTGGGCCTGTTAGGAATGGGGAAATGGAATAGAAAAACAGAAGGGTTTTTAATTCACGAGGATGATGCCCATGTCACAGAGATCTGAAAGTTAGCACTGTCCTATAAACTAGATCCGGGTTTGCCAAAGCCACAACACAGACACTACAGTTTCGCCACTCCAGGGAACAGGAGCTCTCTAGCCAGTATTATAGAATCATCCACATTTTCTCCAGCCAGCAGAACATGCATTTTGCATAAAAAATTCAGTAGACTTCAGCTGTGTAGGAAAAAAGGCCACACCCAAAAAGGGAATGATTGACACATCCAGATGCCCAGCCCTTGGAATAGAGAGTGGGATGCGGACAGCACAACATTCAAAATGCTCAAAAGTGGACCATCTCCCAAATATGACCAGGGGTCATATTTTTGCAAGATGTTGCCATTTAAAACAAGGTTGCTTTTGAGCAATTTCATAGAATTTTAGAAGCCTAAAATTAAAAGGGAATAAAACTGCAGAAATTTTCACCTAATTCCACTTGATGCCAAATCGTTCAGAATGCTGACATGCTCTGTATTTGTAGACATTCCCAACTGAATAAATGGTCCAGCGTTATGTCCTTTTATTTAAAAAAAAATACTTAATCGCTATTGCTCCTGTGTCCTTTAACCAAGTGCTACTTTTGCCAGCTATTGTTTTGCTGTTGATGCTCCTTCATGCACAAAAGCATCCCCTGGGTACTTTGCAGAGAGTGGATTTTCTGACTATCTGGTTTACAAGGAAGTAGATGGGAATTGGATCCGAACATTGTACAGGTTTGTATAATGAGGCTTAGCTGCTGTAACATTTTGCTTTCTGATTTGTGTGTCTTGAATATCTATGATTTGACCAGATGTTACAGCTGGATGGCTTACAACAGCAAATGTATGGGATGTACCATTGTAACAAGGGACACACTCTCGTGTACATGCATGTTGGAAATTTCTATCAACCCTCATGGAAGTTAAGTTCATGCTCTGGGTGGTGGGCGGTTAGGCCTATTGTACTGTATCTTGGGAAGACACTAAGGGTATGTCTCGACTACATTCTTCTGCCGACAGAGGCATGTAAATTAGACTACCCGACATAGTCAATGAAGCAAGGATTTAAATAACCCCCGCTTCATTAAAATAAAAATGGCCGCCGCGCTGTGCCGGCTCAGCTGATTGTCGGTATAGCGCGCGAGTCAACCGCTCCGCGTCTTGATAAAAGAAGCCTTTGTCGAATGCTCCTGTAAACCTCGTTTCACGAGGCATAAGGGAGCAGTCGACAAAGGCTTCCCCTGTCGACCGATCCGCGTCTTGACTTCCGCGCTTGCCAACAATCAGCTGAGCCGGCACAGCGCGGTGGCCATTTTTATTTGAATGAAGCGGGGGATATTTAAATCCCCACTTCATTGACTGTGTCGGGTAGTCTAATTAACATGCCTCTGTCGGCAGAGGCATGTAGTCTAGACATAGCCTAACAAACTAATCATACAGAGGGTATCCACTTAAAAATTAGATTGACACGGCGACAGTGCTCAGGGCTGTGAGAAGTTTCCCACCCTGAGTGCCTTGCCGCTTTACTGCCAGCGTACGTGCACCTAGATTGACACATTCTTCTCTCAACCTAACACCACATCTCAGAGAGGTGGCTTAACTATATTGATGGAAAAACCTTCCACTATCGTAGCTAGTGAAAACATTTTGCTCCTGGTTTCTTTGCCCCCAGTAGGTGGGACCCTAAAGATTCCAAGCATGGATCCTAAGTGCTAAATTGCTCTTCCGCCAGTTGCCATTTGTGCATGTAATTGACATTCTTTTTGTTTCGTCTGGGTACAGATTTGAAAATGCAAAGCCTCCTGGAGGCTATATTGTGTATTCTCAGCACATGCAACGGCATGCTTTGACTTGGTCTTTTGTAGATGTTCAACCAGACTCCCTCTACATTATATGGAGAAGGTAGTCAACCCTTTCTCAACCTTCTGCCTCACTGATTTGTCTCCTGAAGTTACTGGAAGTTTTTTTTTTCTTTTTTTTTACTATAATTTAAACAGGAAGGTCTATTCTGTAGCACAGTTTGTAAATCTGTGTACAGGCAGTCCCCAGGTTACATACAAGATAGGGACTGTAGGTTTGTTCTTAAGTTGAATCTGTATGTAAATCGGAACTGGCGTCAGCCGCTGCTGAAACTGATCAGTTTCAACCGCGGCTGAATCTGGATGCCAGTTCTGACTTACATACAGATTCAACTTAAGAAACCCAGGCGTCCCCAAGTCAGCTGCTGCTGAAACTGATCAGTGGCTGATTCCAGGAAGCCTGGGGCAGAGCAGCTGGGGTGCTGCTGGGTTGGTCCCGCATCGCCAAGGGGCGGTGCTACAGGACCAACCTGGCATCACCACTGCTGCTCC